GAGGTGGATGCCACAATTGCCTATAGATAAAGGTGAAGATGTGGTCATGACCATGATATTCATTATTAAACATATTATGAGGATGGCTATATATATCAATTGGTATCATTTGTTTCATGGATAAAGGCTTTGATATCAACAATATCCTCTCTATATTGGTTGATATATGTTCAAGTTTATCTTATGTGTCTTAATCTGTTGCCACATATTGTTATCTAAATTTGTATCTTATATGGTAGAGCTAATTTTCATTTTTGGTAACAACAACTATATGCATGTGTGTATGTGGGGTGAGGTGGGCTTAGTTTTGAGTGTGAGTGATTTTAAACTTAAACTTCAATTATTATGGGTGGAGGTGTAATTTCATCTTTAATATGGATTAGTTGTAGTCCAATCATGCTAAATATGACTTTGAAGCTTCTTCCTTTTGTTTATTACTCCCTGATATTTCTTCCATTCCTCTTACCTATATTCCATTTAGTCCTTTTGTTTTTATATCTACTTTCATCACTTATGTCTCTAGATTATTTTCTATTGTGTTTTTGAGTATATTGATCTCTTCAATTTTGACCTATCACTTGGAACCAAGATTCCAATGTATCATCCTATTCTAATTAGGGATGATTGTATTATCAAGGTTTCTATTCAATTTATGTAATTCTCAAAGTTTTTGGGCATGTGAATTTTATCTTGTGACAAAGTTTGATGAGAGTATTCAAGCTTGCATTGACTATCATTTGTTAAATGATGTGATTATTTTGGATGTGTACCCTCTTCCTCATACTATTGATCTTTTAAATCATTTATAGAGAAGTTATTAGTTCACCAAGTTGGATCTTGTTTTAGGTACTAACACATGCTGATAGTTGAAGAAGATATTTCAAAGACATTTTCTGTCTACCATTTAATTTATATAAATTATTGATGATGTTATTTGGTTTGAATAATACTTTGACAATTTTTCAATAAATGATAAATAAAGTTTTTTTTGATATGCTAAAAATGACTGTTAGCTTTATTAATGATATCTTGATCTATTTAAAAAAGATATCAAAGTGTTAGATTAGTTATGGGAAGTTATTTTGAATTTGAAGTGATCAAAGTGTGTGTTTGGGTCCAAGAATATGAATTATCTTGGGTACTACATTTATTGTGAGGGTTTGCAAGTTTATTCTTATAAAGTTGTGGTTTTTTTTAAGTTGCCCACTTCAAAGTGTGTAAATGATATGCAATGCTTTCTTGGAAAGATGCATAATATCTAAGTTATTTTATTGATCATCTCATTTATCATACTACACTATTGCAAATATTGTTGAAGTCATCAATATTGTCTTTTATTTAGTATTATAACTACAAGTGGGTATTTGTAAATCTTAAAGAAGTGTTATGTTCCAACTTTGGCATATCTTAACTACACTCAACTCTTCATCTTGCATATAGATGCTTTTAATATTAATATCAAAGGCATTTTGATACAATAGAGCATGATTATACTTGATTAGTAGCACTTCATTACATACATTAGTCACATATTATGACTAGCAAGATAAAGAATGAGTGTTTAGTAACAATTTGGGGTTTTAAGAAGCTTTATGCATACTTATATGATTCTCAAACATTATTAAAGGGTAATCATGTTGTGGTTACTTCAGTATTAAAGTGGAAGAATTTAGTTAGTCATACTACTTAATAGGCTTTAAAGCTTTAGATATATAATTTCAATATTGTTTGTTATCTAGAGAATTCTATGGCTAATGCTAACACTCTTTTATAATTTCCTTTCTTTTCTTTACTTTTTTCTTTTATTCTTGAGGAGTTGTTATTCTTGCATCAGTGAATTTTTTAGATGAGAAATCTAGTTATTGATGGTTTTTGTATTTGATATTTAGTATTCACAAGGTGCAGAGATGGATTTACCTTCTCTTAATGAAGTTTGTAATGCTCAAAAGGTTATGCTATGAAAATTTGTAATGGGTTTGAGAATTTTATACCACTTATCCCATTTTTCCATTTACATTTTTAATATTGTTTTGAGGACAACCTTCTTTACTTTATTGATTCTGATGATCATTTTAACTATTGGTGCCTTTAATCTCTATTTTATGTGGGCACATAGGACATCACTATGTAATTAAGAAGTTGTATATGTCTTTGTAATGGCCAAAGATGTGATATAATATCATTTAGTATATGTATAGCATTTGATGCAAAGCTTATATTACTCTTGCTTATGTTATGGAGGGACAATTGGAGTTTAACTTTGAAAATGCATAATTAAATGAATTAGAAAATGATATTGATTCTCTAAATTCCATGTTTTCAAAGTAGAATAAGCACCCTATTTGTTTGAGCTGGTAGCATTTAATTTGATAGAGCCTTTTTAGCTAAATACTTGACTTATTGGGTGGAAGTTATTGCTCTTGCTAGTGTATTTACCATTACTATTTGATACTTCCTACTTAATTGAGTGATTTTCCAGCATTCTTGTTTAGAGCAGATTCTTTCGGATAATATCTTGCATTTATGGCTGAGGCATTTTACATTTTGACATCACACTTTCACAATTGCTTATCATCCACATATAAATGATTTGGTGGAATAATATTGAGACCTTCAAAGGGATGATCATAAAATATGTAAATTTTTAGCATTTGAATTAAAATGGTTATTTACCATTTCTTTAGCATATTTATATCACGAGACTCAAAATTTCTTTAGTATCTCACCATATAAACTTTTATATAGTCATGAGAGTTGAGTTTCCTTCACAATTGTTATGAACTACCAATGAACTCTTGGGATCAACATTTGATAAGTATCCTTTCATTAGTTTGAGTAGAGTCTACTAAACACTTAGAGCCACGTATAAGTAAGACAACAATGGTGTTAAAAACTTTAATCATTATCCACTTCCACTTCTAGATTATAAAGGGGATAACTTTATATTAGTTCATTTTCCCAATCTTACTATATATAGTTTGTTTAAAGTGTCATTTGCTTAATGGAAGGGATTATATCAAGTGTTTAGTAAGTTAGACTGCAAGTTTGTAAGATTTAATATGACATTTAATAGACTAATCCTCTAGAAATTGTGTATGTGAAATGACTAAAACACTTCATAAAAAAAGATTAAGAAGAAATTGTACCACTTATAAATCCACTAGTGTCTCTTGATGTTTCCCTAGATTTTGGCTCATCAACATAAGAACCTTAACTACCTTCAATCCTCCTAAAAGGAGGGGATGATCTAAGGTTTAGATGTATGATTATGATGCCATTGTGTAATGGAGTTTTGGTAGTAATTGGATTGAAGACTATTCACTCTTATATATAAGTTAAGGTTTTTTTGACTAATTGAATATACATATTACTCACAAACTTTATATTTTATAATTAATTAAATAGCTTATTTTTTCAATTATAAAGTGGAGTTAAACAATAATTTGGAGAATATTCACTTTCACATTATCTAGAAAAAGGATAGAAAACTACCACTGCTAATATTAGCCCCTCTATAAAGTTTACTCTAATGTTCATGTAATTTTTAACTTAAAGAATTTTAAGTTTAAAATATAAATATTAAATTTGACATTATAAAGAAATTTGAATGATATTAATATATATATTTAGGTTTTTTCTATACAATTATGATTGGCATTCTATTTAGATGAAGCTAGTATAGTTCCATAAAGATACATAAAGATACTAGTAGTGTGGGTAATTTCATTATAGATATTGACATGAGATTGATCATAATTCATAGATATATTGATGAGTGGTAATTTGAGCTGGTTTTGAGTGCTATGATGATTTTCTAGTTTGATTTAGTATGGAGTCAATAAAATTGATTTCAAACACTATTCAGATAACTTTATAAATTCAATTTTTTAATTCTTTGGATGATAATATATGTACTTAGCATAGAACAATTTAAAATTACTGTTTCTTTTAGTTTAAATGTTTTTAATTTACTTTAGTTATTAGTATATTATTATTTAATTTTATATTTAATCTAGAAATACTTTCAGGCTTAGGAATCAATCACAAGTTAGACTCAGGCTTAGGCCATTTACCAATTGACTAAGATATGTAGATATGGAAGCATGCAAATCTTCTTACTGCTACCTTTGCTATGAAAACTATAGAATCTGAGTAGAGTAAACAAGAGGAGATGATGGCTTGGATGTTTATAGCAAAAATATTATAAGTGTGTTATGTAAGGTGTTCTAAGTGAGTTTCCTAGGATCCTATTTCTCTCATTGTATATTTTTCATGCTCCAATCAAGAGTAAGAGAGATAAACTAAGCTTCTAGTGAAATACCTTCAACACACTTAGGCAAGGAACAAGATTTTGAGGATTTTATTTATAAATTTGTAAGTTTTTCTTTTTGTTTTTTATTGTTTTTCTTACAATGTGTTTCAAGTTCATTCTTGAGTCACAGTCTTGCTAAATGATATTTGTTTCCATGGAGATCAGAACACACTAAACCAGTAGGAGGAAAAATGAAGAAAAAGTTAAGACAAATAAAGCAATAAAATAATCGGATTTCTACCAACATTTTGTTGACGTTGTAGCCAACTTGCACAGGAGATAGATCAAATACAATGCTAACACTGAAAAAACAAAGACAAAAGAAACAAATGGCGTTCCTGGCTTTGATCCTAGCTTCTTGTCTTCTTAGTGCATGCAAAAGTAAGGGAAAAGAACTTTTTGTTTCACTAACTCTTATTTTGCTTTCTTTTTCGGATTTTCAGCACAGAATCTTCCACCCATGCATGAAGCTACAGATTCAAAATTCCATCCACAGCTCTATGATTATATTGTCGTCGGAGGTGGCACCGCAGGGTGTCCGCTAGCAGCAACGCTCTCCCAAAAATTTAGAGTCCTTTTGCTCGAGAGAGGAGGCTCGCCTTATGGGAACCCAAACGTGACCCTCCGGGACAACTTCATCGTGAATTACTTGAACCAAGGCAGCGACACGCCTGTCCAGGGATTCGTCTCCACCGAAGGCGTTCCAAACGCTCGAGCACGAGTCCTGGGCGGTGGAACTTCCATCAACATCGGCTTCTACAACCGAGCCAGCCCCCAAGTTATCAGCGATCTCGGCCTTGATGGAAGCTTGGCCAACGCTTCTTTCCGATGGGTCGAGCAAGTTGTAACGTCGGTTCCTCGTCTCGGGCCGTATCAAGCTGCCTTTCGAAGATCACTCATCAAGGCCGGAGTCACTCCTGACAACGGTGCCAGTTACGACTTCCAAGTCGGGACCCAGACCGGAGGAACGATCTTTGATGACCAGGGAACCCGGAGGCCGGCTTCAAATTTACTCGTTTATGCCAATCCGCGCAACCTCGACATCCTGCTGCATGCACAAGTCGAGCTCATTCTCTTCAGTGGTAAAGTTTCAAACACGTACCTCTGGCAAGATGATCTGGGGATTTTCTCTTGGCAGGAGATCGAAGTTATGGAGTCAAGTACAGCGATCCTCTCGGGAGAACACGGACCACCTTGCTGAAAAATCTCCAGGGCGAAGTGATTCTATGCGCAGGTACACTAGGAAGTCCACAGTTACTTTTGTTGAGTGGAGTTGGGCCAGCAAACCAGCTGTGACGGCAATGGGGATCAAGGTAGTTTACAACTTGCCTGGAGTTGGAAAGCAAGTCAGTGACAATCCAGCAGCCCTCGTAAACATAGTCTCACCTTCGCCAGTGGAGTCGGCACTCGCGCAAGTCGTGGGGATCACTGCACCGTTCGGGAATTTTATCGAAGCTGCCTGCGGTGTTGCCGTGACGGGAGTGCCAGGAGCTCGAGCCGGGAACATAATTGAGAAAGTCGCAGGGCCTTTGTCTTCCGGGACGCTCGTTCTGCAATCCAAAAACGTACGAGACAATCCGTTAGTAACTTTCAACTACTTCCAAGACCCTCGAGACTTGCAAACTTGCATTGCAGGGGTGAACACGATCGAGGAGGTAATACTCGCAAACTCTTTCAGGCCTTTTGTCTATGATAACCAGACTCTACCATCGGGAGGGACTGTTGGAGCACCTAACAGGAGAAATCCAGCTTTTGCCGCTACCATAAACACCACCATAGCCAACTATTGCAGAGAACGCTTGACGACCATATGGCACTACCACGGTGGCTGCTTAGTTAACCAGGTTGTGGACTCGGACTATAGAGTTCTGGGAATTAAAGGACTCAGAGTGGTGGATGGCTCTACGTTCAAATACTCGCCGGGAACAATTCCGCAAGCTACGATTTTGATGCTCGGAAGGTGAGAATGCTTTGGATTTATGGTGAGATAAGATACTGTATCTATGCAGGTATGTGGGAGTCAAAATCCTGACACAGAGAGCAAGATAGGCACACATACCTCACTCTATTGTTTTTGCCAACACCCAGCGATTCCTGGATCAGATACGTATCAGAAAGCGTGAGAAGTTAAAATAATACCACCTGCTCGTTTCAAACGACGTTTTCTACAACTCCCAGACCAAGCTTTCCTAGAATCTCCAAACCTTCATCCTTGTGTTAGGCTCTAGTTTGTCTGGACAAAATCGTAAGACATACCTGGAACATAGACTTCTGGTTGAAGTGGACGAATGACTCCCCTGGACTTCAGTCTGCCAGTAAACAGAAGCTGCAAAGCGAGCCTGTTAGAGAGAGACGTTGCTAGCCTCAACTTTACCTCGGCACCTATGGCTACCGTGAGACCAACTGTTCGAGCCATTGCAGAATGCGGCCTACGTGACTCGTTTTTAAGCTGATTACAACTCTCTCCAACAGCAACTAAAGTTGCCGAGTGTCTTTCAGCTGATCTCGAGTCTTCGTACACTACCTCCAGTTCATGATGCAAAAGAACTAGATCCTGCATAAGATTAAAAACAAAGGTTCAACCAAAACAACAACTGGTATACAAATACCTGTTCATTAGCACGGAAGACAAGTTTTTCTTCCATTCGCGAGCAGAGAACCTCGAAAGCTGATTTGCATGACCTTGGAACTATTTCTTGGGAGTCCAACCCCAGAAACCTGTAAATATCAGCATTAGTACTTACATTATGTTGTTAAGATAGAGTAGCATATGCAACCTTATGCAGCTTAGCACGCGCTTCGCCACATCTAAGTTGTCCGAGGAGATGATACGAGCAAGCTCCTCCGCACATAAACCATTGTAACTGGTTGACAGTTGCAGAATCAATGCTTCGAGAACTGCAGCATATGTAGTTTCCGTTGAAGAAGCCAAGAGCGGATGATTGTCAGAATTGTAATATCCTAGCTTCCCCAAAGTGTCCATTATCTGACCAAATCCTACAAAGGCCGAAAGTGACAAATGTTCAAATAGAAATAACGCTGTTCACCTTCATAGCGTAAAGTCCCTCTGAAAATTGTCGCAGCTTCCTGGGTGATGCCATACAAGTCGCCATACATTAAGGAGTCCCTGTTCGGTAGCACTTCCAGAGCATAAGCTGGGTACTGCGGAATTCTAAATGAAACAGCAGCGCCGAAAAGACGTTCGCCTGAAAGAAAAGCTACTCGTCAAAAGAAAAGCGCCGGGAGAAAGGGAACTCACCGGGGACTCTGATGATTTTGTTTTCGTGCTTGTAGATAGCAGCATTCCTTCCTGCCTTGATAGCTCCGGTCGGGTTCCAGCTACAAGACATATCTCCTTGTGAGGCAGACAAAAAAGATGACACATTGAAGTACCTGAACTTGTATGCTAAAGGATTATTGGCAGCTTCAGGTGATGGAAGCCCCCCACAGTACGATTCAAACACGCGAACTTTGCCTCCTCTTTCATGAGATGCATCTATCATTTTCATTGCCATCATGTGGTCTAGACAAACAAAAGAAGCATTTAGAAAACAAGACACAAGTCGTCATACGAACCGATTCCTGGATCCAACCCCATCTCGCAAAGTAATGTCACTCCTGCCGCTTGAGCTCTTGAATCAAGAAGAGCCATATCTTTGCTTACATAGCTTGCTGTCACCAGGTGCTTTTTTAACTAGAATAGAAAGATTAGTGAAAATGGATAAAAGAAAAGAGAAGAACAGTTTACTTCAATGCAGGCAACCGCGACTCTCTCGTGGAAACTTGGAGGCAGTAAACTGATCACAACTTCAACCTGGAGGAAAAGCAATATGATTATTTCATTGGAAGGTAAAAAGATGAAAACCGGGAAAAACCTTTTGTACTTGACTCTCTAGCTGTTGCTCATCCATTACGTCAATCTGTATTGCTAGAGCGTTTTCGACACCCTCAACCACCTGATACATTAGAAAATAAGAAGTTGGAAAGATATATTCCCTTCTTGACAAGCATACCTTGGATGCGTCTTCAAGATACAACGATCCAACGTGAACAAAAACTTGCTTGGGCGGCTTTGACGTATCAGCGTAGTCCTCGAACGCATTTTCAGTGAGGTACATCAATGTAGGCTCACACATTCTCCCGGCTCCGAGAATAAGAATGTTCCTATATTCTGAAACAACTGAAGCTTTTTCAGAACAATGATTCTCTCCTGTAGAACGCGTTGCCATCGTAGATAAAGCGTCCACAATGCGGCTTAAGTTCTCTTCTGATTCTGCTGCAACCTGGAATGCAAAAATCTTGTATATTCACAGAAGAAAAAGCATACGTACTTCAATCTCTGCATAAGAAATGGCATCACACGTTTGACCAATCTGGCACGTCGCAATTTGGAATTTGCCTCCAGCTGCTTCAATCACGTCCAAAGCTTCGTTTATCAGAAACTTGTCAAACAGATGACCACTAAGTGACACCTGGTTTTAGAAAACATCTGTTTAGATTTTCTTAAGTCATGCTTTTTACCTTCGTTGTGAATGTGCTTGTGCCGTTCATCAGCCTGCATGATCACTTAAAAGTGAAACAGCGACATTGAGAAAAAAGTAAGAAAACTTACCGAGCTTCAGAATTTCTAATACGCTGAATGTAGTCGAACAATTGGCTAAGGTGGCCACTGTGAGCAATGCATGCTCGTCTCAGCGGCGATACGGCCTCCATGGGATTCTTACACCGTGCCATTGTGCTGATAAAAGGTTGCAACACATTCCCAAAATGCGCGGTGGCCTGTTGCATGATTATAATAACAATCTAAAAACACGTGAAGACCTGTGTACCTCTTTTGCAAATTCAGTGGGAAGAATGTCGACAGCCAAGAATAGTAATCCCTCACCATCCAGGTCCGTGTGATGCGAACGTGTAACAGGATTGTATCTGCGATCCAAGGAGAAAGTAAATCACGTCAATTTTTTTTTTTTTTTAAAAACATGTACCTGAAATATGGTTGCTCGATGCACGTCGTTGATTTAAGGCACTCGATTGAACCTTCAACGTCGCAAGTTATGTCACAGACTCCCAATAGCCTACATTTTGAAGCATGCTTATCAAACATGTCTTGCAACTGATTGTTGGTAAGAAGCTGCGGATATCGATGCTCCCAGTACATACAATTCACTGCAAAATGATGAAGATAAAAGTACCAGAATTGACGTTTCTAGGTTTTTCTAGAAAATATTACCAATCACAGACGCAAATGAGGCTATTGTCTCGTGGAATGTTGAATGGTAATCCTCGGGATGTGCATAGTAATCAGCCTGCAACTTAAAATTTAGCAACAGAATACGCACTTGAAAACTGACCTTGTTAAACTGTTTCCCGGGGTTGTTCGGTATCACCATATGCTCCGCAGTAACTACAGAAGCATAAACTTTTCGGTTGCTTATCCGTCGGTTTGACAGATCCTTATGACACAGACACACAGATGAGCGGTAATAGTTTTTTTCCTAACACAACTGTTCACCAAACCTTAAGTTGAGAAGGGTGCACATACTCATGCGGAAGAAGATTCAAAATCTCCTGAGCACCTCGTGAAACTGGCAAAAAGAACGAAAAATCTGTTAACATGTACACAAAGAAAAGTCTTACCATTTCCAGAACCGGTAAATACAAACACCAGCGGACACAATTCCTGCGGAAGACCACTGCTTGAAATGGCATCCCCGACCATGAGCACTGCAGCTTTAGCCGCACTCAATGACATGTACATATACGAGGACCCCAGCGAAACAAACGGCGTTGAGTACCCGAGGCTCAAAAGTCCTACAAAATTCCAGCATCAATCTTCTGTAAGCAGCACAAAATCAAACGGCTTACTTTCACCAAGACCCCGAAAAAAATCAATCATTCCGGCTCTTCCAGCGTACTCCCCAAATGCAACAAGTCGTTTACCATGATCGTCGACAATAAGCTCATAATCGTAGAGTAAAACACGCTTTCCAAGCACCTGACCACGAGAAATGGATAGCCAGATTGAATAACCAAGCTAGTTTTCTCGCTCACCTCGTCCAGTAGAGGCATGTTTTGAGGCTGTGCTTTGTGGGTGTGAGAAAAAAATCCATAAGCCCTGTCTTCCAGCAGAGTCCCAAGCTGCAAGACAGAGAAAAGCAAGCAACAATGAAAAACGAAAGAATCCAACACACAGACCTTGGGTTGCTTGACCCCGAGAATAAGACCACATTGAGATAAGTCCTCAGAGACCTCGCAGCCAGCGTCCTCATACTCGTAGTCTCTGTGAATCCGCTTGCTGCATGGCTGGACGATGATTCTCTCCACGGCTCCACTTCGCAGCAGCCTTCCACAGAGCGTCGGCGTGAGCGGAGCTCTCCTCTCCCACTTATTCTTCTCTTCCTTGAGAACACCCAAAACACCGTTCCCTAGTGCCATGATCGCCAACCCCGGAAGAACACCTAGTAGTGGCAACGAGGCAGCTCAATCCCTGCTTGGCAGTCGCGTCTTTAAAATCTCGATCACGCTCTCTGTGCTGATGAGTCGTGAAACATGCCTAGTGATGTGTAACTTTGATCCGCCAAAAGGATATTCCCCGGTCCTTTTCGTGGTTACGTCCCCTATTGAAGAACTTCCATAAATGCTGGACGATTCTCTCGGCTGGATCATCTCTCCTGGAAGTGGAAATTCTCGCAAAGCCCCATCTCGCGAAGTAATCTCTTATTCCCCAGTGACTCGTCTCAATCCCAAGATCTCTACACCTGTTCTTGCGACTCATCCATCACCTGGTAGTGAAATTTCACCCGATCGATCGAGAAAGCCGGCATTCGATCTAGATGCCTGCCCCATTGATCAAGATAGACGCGCGCCCCCAAAACCCTGACCGACCTTCTTGATGGAAATCCCATGGACCTCAAAGAATGCTGCTCGATCGCGAAATCCTGCCGCAGCAGCGCGGCCGCGCCGCACATCCATGCGCTCATCGTCCAGCACCAGCGCAAATCGCCGGAGCGCAGCCTCTACCTCTCCAACCTGCTCGTCGAGATGTATGGCAACTGCGGCGATCCAGAATCCGCGCGCGCCGTCTTCGATTCC